CATAGGTTATCAGAACTTTACAATATTACACAGTGTTTACTTTTATAACAATATCTATCTAATGACTGAGTCACAAGTTCTGGGAATGTCTGTAAATATCTTAGCAAAAAGTTTGAATTTCTTGTTCTTCTTCTTCTGCTTCTTTTTTGTTACATGCTAACTAAAAAACCAAAACACCAGTGACAAGTAATTTCATGAAGGTGACATAATTTCAAACCGAGTATTTGCTTTTATAAGTATTAGTAATAACTAGTAGTAATTGAAAATGATAATAATAATGTTATCATTACCCCTTGAAGTTAGCTTTTTTACAGAAATTTGGTGTTCTTTTAAAAAGAGTGAAACACGAATTACCAGCCAATAATAGATAAACAATAAATATTACATATAGAACCTCATTGTACTTAGAATTTGGTTATAAATACAACCTTCCTATGTTTATTGAAACAAGCAAACAAGTAAAGAAAAACTTTTCGAAGAAGGAAGTAAATGTAAGGATGGTAATAGCCTTTAAAAATAATGCAAACAAGATATTAGGGATGGCATTTGCATCATCCCTATATAATAGCCTAGGCAAGGACTAACAAATAGCAATATATATAACTATTCCATCACAACTGAGTTTAATATATCCTATTTTTGTCTGTTAACCTTCTACTACACTGTGTGCCTGTGCTCATTGATTTGAATTTGGGTTTATCAAGATGTCCTCTAAAATAACTACAAGTAATAGAAACAATAACGATGATGAAGGTATGGCAATGCCAAAAAGTACAGAAACAAGGAAGTGATGAATACACAAATCCATATAAAAATACCCACATAAGTAGCGAAATCTTTCCAAGAAAAACTTTTATCTACAACTAAATGTTGAATTCCTTTCCTTTCATTTGCCTGAATTCAGGTTTGAATAAAATAATTTAAACTGAATAATGTTATAAAGTCTTACAATAGCCAATTCCCATATGCTTGTAACATTGATTCAGTGGCTACTTATGTACGGATATTTTTATGGTTTTTGTGTATTTATCTCTACCTTGTTTCTGTACTTTTAGGCCTTGCCATCCCTACATCATACTTAATTTTTCAAATTTTTATTGCTTGTTTTCTCTCTTTTTTAAACAATAACCAATGAATATTCTATAATGAATAACAGTCGTTATGAAGGCAACAGTTTTAGCCTGGCATGATGAGTTGTCTTGATGGACATCATGTGTTGAAGTTAGTGAAACACTATGCTGCTTCTGCACTCCCCAAGTTAAAATGCAACATTTTGGTGAGTAATTCATCACAACAACTTCAAGCATGGTGAGCTAGCCCTTCTGATGCCAGATTCAGAATAATCAGCAGAATATTTGATTGTTACTCCAGTCGCCAGTTTTCTACTTTAGCAATGTTTTTTTTTAAATCTAAACTGAAGATCATAATAGCTTTTGAAAACTTCAAAAAATCTAAATTAGGTGTTTAAAAAAGTCTCTTAGGTTGTTATAAAGAGATTGGAGACTACGATGAGCAATGCAATATGCGTCGGCCATTTCTTTCCCGCCCATCCCTACATACTAAGCACTACAGTGCTAAGTGATGATAATTGAACAAGAAATATTTTCACACACGGAGTGATTGTGTAAAAAACAAACCATCTCATTTTATATTTTAGCATACACTTAAAAGTCTGAGTGATTTGGGCTTTCTAACTCTTTCACAGCCATGTTCATAAGTAAATATCTCTTCCCGCTTCCATGTTTATTTTATACACACATAGAAACAAATGGGTTGTTGTATAAGTACTTTACTTATGTGAGTTGGGCGTGACCTTATGGTCAGCGTGCCGCACTGTGAATCTGCAGATTCACGGTTCGAGTACAGTTGCCTTTGGATAGATGGATGCGTTGTAAGAGTGACAGTTAAATCTCACTATTCAATTAAAGTAGTTCAAGTGTTTGCGATGAACGCTGTTGATTGTCCACTTATCTCCAGAACTTTCAAATTAATATGCAACATTCATGATTTAAAAAAAAATATTATAAAATTATTGGTTATATTTCGTACCTACTTCTCGGAAAGTTTACTTAATTGATATCAAACTTTTTAAGGCTAAAACAAAAGTTACATAGTGTGCCATATGTTTCCATGGTAGTGCTCTAGAGAGAGACGTACCTGTGCCCACTATAATAAAAGGGTTAAGAAAGCGTACAGTTTCGTGAGTGATATAAAAAAGAAATATTATAACTAATACAACTTATTTTGCCTTAGGGAAGAAGATTTCTCTTATTGTAAAGCACAAAATAACTTGCCTCCAGGGTACACCATCAAGTGTGTGAATAGAACCTTCAAGCAGAAAATGGTTGTCATTAGAGACGGACAACCTTTTACCGGTTCTTTCAGTTTTCCACATGATTGTAAGTGCTATATCTTAAAAAGCGACACTGGGGACGAACCTGACCCGAACAACTCAACTACTGACTAATACCAAGCATTGAGGTATACTCTTGTACTAGCTCAGAAGCGAGGGTTACTCTGCTTTCTCTCTCTCTTTTATTGCCGTCTGATAATTCTGATGCTTTTGTTGTGTAAAACGTTATATGTCCAAAACAGGAAGCAAATTTATCGATGATATATTTTGTGTTTTTTTCTTAGAGCTGTTATATATATATATATATTACTAGATTAATTGCTTTAAATGCATAATGAAATAATATAATATAAATTTAAATAATGTTTTATGATATTAAAAATTTCATTCCTTATCAATAAAGAACGAAAATAAGAACCCTCTAATTTGTTAAAATTAATGTATCTGGTCTGTAAACATGGTCTTTTACGGCGGAATTTTTTTTTCCGAATCCAGTGAAGTCTGCAAAATGAGGATAACTAAGCCTAAATTTGGAAAGAAAAGTGGGCTCACATAATTTAAACACGACCGCGTTATTATTTTTTGTATAATCTACACACTATATCTCAATATGCGAAATTTGACTAGCTGCATGAGAAGACAAAATAACTGTAAAAATCACGGTATCAAGAGACGAAAAAAATCTCAGGTTACAGAATCCAGCTTCGATTGTGTTATTGTTGACAGACTGAGTAAATTGGACCATTGTTTCTTAGTGGACGCAACATGAGTACAAGAATTCTGCAACTTTTTACATTTCATCCGTCATGAGTTTCATTTGCAGCTGTTCGTAAAGTTGATTTTAAGCAGTGCATTCGACATGTTGACCTTTTATCACGAACTTTTCAGCTTTTACTTGTTTTTTTTTCCCTTCTTTTTTGGGTCACCAACTTTCCATAATAGGCAAAAATGCATAAGATAAATATTGTTAACATATTTTCTAACTGATCTCCGGACTGGAAATCTGGAACAATGCATAACTTTATTATTGTAAAAACCAGAATGGATTTCATTTCTAATCTTTAAAATATTAAATTACTTTATATTTGTACATTTCCTTACTTTGCGACATCTATTTGTTCTCTCATTTGTCCTATATAAACATACTTCGAAATGCGGAACAGATTCGTACTTTGGACACACGAATTTAATTTCTAATTGCAATACACATGTTTTATCCAGCTCCATTCTCTGTTTTGCAGAAAAGTAATTATGTTCTCAATTGTTGAATAAAAACTTTCTTCTTCATTACTTTGTCTTCCAAATGAAATAAAAATTTGAAACTGAAATGTTTGTTTGTTGTTGAATACAAAGCTACATAGCGGGTTATCTATGTTGTACCCACCGAGGGTATTAAAACTCGATTTTTAGCGTTATAAATCATCAGACTTGCTGCTGAACTAATGAAGGCTAACTGAAATGTATAAAATTGTAACTTTACTTTCTGACCTGCAAAATATAATAAAGTTTAAATATCAACTACAAGCTACAGCTGCACGACAATGATATACAGGACATTACCACCTATAAAATAAGCTTTTAAAGTTCCACTACATGGTAGATGAGCACGTCATATTAAAACAATTTTGAATATGTAGATCAACAAGTCACGTGAACATCACAGCTGATATAAAGTCACGGTAGAACGTAATGTATCAGAACTAAATTTTCACATTAATTGACATTCCTTGGAAGTTTGATGGTACCAACAATTGATCGTTATTCGTAAGGGCATGAAAAAAAAACTTCCAGAATAAAAATATACATTCAGCCCTTAAAGATGTGTTCAAATCAGGGACTTTGAATTATCAAGACGGGGATACCTTTGGAAAACAAAGGAATATAGATCAACTTGGGACATCATGCCCCCCCCCCCCAAAAGAGACCCTCAACAAATCCTATCCTAATCGGGAAAAGCAAAGTGTGGCTACTAGTAACACGTGAGGATTCACGAATACAAAGGTCAGTGGTAAAAACTGTCCACGTGCCCCAAACAACAGTACGCAATACAATCAAAAAGTATCTCCGTATTAAAAATAGGCCAACAGGATATGGGTTCACCAAGACAAAGTTTTCAGTCATATTTTCGTTCATACCTCAAGCAGCTAGAAAGTAAGAAGGGTACTCATGCCATTCCATAGGTTCTGCGTCTGGCGACTTGACCAGGTCTTCAAAGATTTCTGTTTGATCGGATTGTCGCAATTGGCGTTGGCAAATCATCGTCCTCATGCTCTATATGGATTATGTAAAACTATCAGGGAGAAGTGGTGTGCTTTGAACATGAAAGCCTTACGACGGAGCGCTTTGTAATGAAAATTACGTCGCAGAGCTATTGTCAAGATTTACGGTCGTCAGATAGAGCATGACCGGCCATGGTAACAATGGACTCTAAGAATTGGTGAGGTTCCAAAATCGTTTTAATATAGCATATTGAACCCTCTGTGTATAATGTGCAGGATAAAACGAACCTCTCATATTGAACTACAAAAATTACAGCAGCGCTATAAAATATATAGTGTAATGCAATTTTCATGTATAAATACAAACAAAGTTACACAAAAAGAAACATACAGGCCTTAAATGATATTAAAACAGTACTTACAGGTAAACAATATGATATGTAGGATATAATGAACCTGCCATGTATCAAATATAAACCTAGGGCTGCACTTTATGAGATGCAGAACATGACAAACATTTCATATATAAAATATAATCTTACAGCTGTACTTTATGGTATGATGAAAATTTCGTATCTATATAAATAATACTTTGCGTTTGTCTGGCCGGAACTTTTCTCGCAAATTTCTCGATCAAACTATACAAATCTCATATCCTTAGAGATGTCTTTGCCCGCGGAGTCCGGATTGCATATTGGCTTTTCCATTCACAATCACCTTACTTGTACTTTGCTTAGTCAAATTGTTTAATACAACGAGTATGCTACACAATGACAAAATGTCGTTGTTATCACGTGACGACTGACTTGGATTTCAAGTTTAGTTTTTTATTTGCAAAGTATTTCTTACAAACAGCACTTAACCCAGAGGTAATTACCTAAAAAATATAAACTTTACACTAAATACAATTGATATGGGCTTTCTCGACATATTTAGGTCTAAAATATGCATGCGCAGTTCGTTCAAAACCATATGTGAACACGCATTCAGACATTTCTACATATTCACGAAAGTTTTCCTTCATTACAACTTTACATTTTCTTTACTTTGCAATAACTTAACTGAGGTTCGTTTCATGTACTGCCATAAAAACCTTTCAGCTACTTTTTTCTTTACTACAGGTTTTATTCTTCGTTTTTGTTAGTTTATTTGTTTCAACTCGTAAAACCGTGTCATACACTCAATGCTCATAACTGTTTCATACAATATACAATATTATAAGTACCATTACTATACATTATTATTTACTTTACGTATAGTTTTATTAAATAAAGCTACGTCTATGTGAGCTTATTTGTATGACCATGTAATTTTTTTTTCAAATAAACCAGGATTTATCGATCTAACAGTACCCATAATACCTGCAAGAAAGCGTAGTGTTACGTCTCTGGTCGTTAGTTAATTTTCCGTAAAAATTCTTTCTGAAGAAACTTCAGCGATACAAGTCTTTTCTTAAATAAAACTGGTTTATTATTTCTGAATACAACTTTGAAATTCACTTAATTTCCACGGTCACGCTACAGCTTAAACAAACGCTATAATTCACAACGAACGACTCACGTGCTCGACTCAATCGTCAATCTCTGTCTGCGGTTCAATTACATTACATTGTTGCCGTCAGTTCTTGGCGGCTTATATATACAAGACTACCGCATATCTAGTAAAAGCTCGAGACTTCACGAACCTTCGAGAATATGACGTGTTACTAGGGTCACGTGACCCCCCGATGTCGTAACAGTAGTTTAAATGTCGTGCGTGAAAATGAAAGAATAAGGAAAATACAAGCGAAGGGCATGAAAATTACCGCAAATGTTTTGCGGGACACAGCTAGTATAAATATATATTTACAAGTGAGTTATACAGTAAGCAGGATTTGAAGAACATTTCATATATAAAATACAAACTTACAGCTGCACTATATGGTATGCGGGATATAATGAACTTGTCCTATATAAAATACAAATTTAGTGCGGCACTATATAATAGGCAGAATAAAATGAACCTGTCAGTGGCGTAGCAAGAGGGGGCAGTCGCCCCCGGGCGCAGGTGTGAAGGAGGGCAAAATTGCCTCTGGCCTATAATG